TAGTAAATGTTAAAGGTAAATGTTCTGAATAAAAAATATCTTTATATTGTGAACAAAGTTTTTTAATACAATTGCGCTCTTCGGGGTTCATGTGTTCTAAACGTAATCTATTTAAGTTTTCCGTTAAAATTTTATCTATTTGGATGTTGTCTCTGTCTTTTAAATTATTCATACTAATCTTTTCTGTTCTACTATTGTATGGGGTTACGTCAAAGGGTTTTGTTATTTTTAAGGTAATTTCTTTTTCCGATGTATTTTGAATTATTGTGGTTGCGTAGCCATTCTGACATTTTACAAGTGCGCTTGGCATTCTAACGCCATTACAGAATTCAGTATAATTTAAAATAACTTCGCCATTTAAAATATTGGTGGGTAATTTAACTCGTTGTTCACAACGGGGGGCTATTCTAACCTCATTAGATGGGTTATAAATAATGGGAATTTTAGCGGAATCTGTGTATAATATTTGATTTTTCATATCTATTTTGGAGTTTAATTGTTTCAAAAGATCACTACCTATTAATCCGTCGTATCTTCCGTCTACGTCATATATATAGAATTTATGAATTTTGTCCGTATTAAAAGTGGGAAATAATTGTGTCAAAATCACTTCATTATGAAAGCTTGAAGCGTGTGTGCTAATAACTTCGAAAGGCTCGTATTCCTTACAATAATAAAAATATTCATTAGCCTTTGCCGGGCTTATAAATGATCGTGAACTTCCTGTGTCGATCATAAATTTTGCGTTTATTTCTGGGATTTCAATGTATGGTAATTTTAATCTAGGGTCAGAATAATTAATATGGATTATTTCGGGTTTTTGTTCGAGGCTTTCATGGGAAAATTTTCGTCATCTGTTAATAGAGATTCATCCTGTTCATTATAAGAATTTATATTTTCATCGTAATCATTTTGTTCTAATTGGTACTGCTCTGGATAATATTCGTTATACTCGTCAAAGTAATATTCACTTTCATCATAAGGAATGTCGTCTTTTATGTTGTACAATTGATTCATGCGAAAAGCTTGAGGCTTAATGGGGGGTGCGGTACGCATGCTAACGTCCGTTGTCTGTGTTTTGGGTTGGAATTGTGGTTTTAGTAAATGAGGTGGTGGTCTATAACCAGTAGGTTGCGAATTTAAGTTGGGTTTATATCCAGGTTGTTGTTGAGGTAATCTAACTTGCTTGCTTGGAGTAATTCCGAATTTAAATTTAGGTTGTGTTTGTGATTGATATATCGGTTTCGTGTTATATGTTGTGTGTGTATGTGGAATACCGAATTTAAAATTAGGCTGTGAATGTTGCGCCTGGTAAATAGGTTTCGTTTGTAAGTTGTCTTGTTGTGGTATTCCGAATTTAAAATTACTTTGTTGTGTATTTTGAGAAAAGAAAGGTTTCATTACATTTTTGTCTATGAAAGGATTTTGTGTGATTAGTTGCGGCTTTTGTTGCGCGTTATTAGATAATCGAAGCATTTTATTTCTAGTTTGGTACTGATATAAGAAATTTACTTCTTCTAAAACAATGCTTAGGGCATTTTCAAGTGAGTTGCATCCTTCTAATCGCACTATGCGTAATAAATCTTCTGGTAAATTATAGAGAAATACGTTCATTGACATGTGATCGTAAATTGTGATTTTACTCTTGCGCAGATTTACGTCACTAATTCGGTTTACTTTGGCAAATAGTGTACTTTTAATATGCTGTATTCTATTACAAAAATCAAGATAAGATTCGCCATTGTTAATTTTTAAAGTTTCTAATTCAATCGCGATACATTCTTCGGAACGTGGATCACCGAAATGTTGTTCGAAAGCTAATTTAAGTTCATTCCATGTCGCAATGTCTGGTCTTTCACTTATTAATGTTGCTGCTTTGCCTGTTAGTTTGGATGTAATGACTTGGAATATATATAGGTCTTGTTCTAAATTACCTGCTTCTCTACTTAATTTAATAACATATTCACTTTTTCTAATGAAAAGATTTAACAAACTTTCATCACCGTCGAATTTGGGGATGATTCCTGAAAGTTCTTTGGGAATCTGTGTGATCTTAGTCATTTTTATTTATTTAATACTATTTAAATGTTTTATAAAATTTTATTTCAAAATGTTCTTATGTACTAATTAAAAGAAATATATAGTGCAAATCGATTTTTGGAAAATACACTACGTATCTCTAGACACTTATAATTAATGTGGAATAGGATTGGATAAAATCAGATGGA